ATATTGGAGTAAGTACTTCTGAAAGTGATCTTAATTCCAAAAAATCAGTAAGGTGAATTTTCAAGTTCTAGGTACCATTTTAACACATCATTAAGTGCTAATGTTTTTCATAAATGTTTCAGACTCGAGAAAATAATTACAGTAGATGTACCACGAATAATCATTTACGCCAAAATTGCTATACCTTCTTTCATCTAAAAAGCATGGGTGACCCCTTGGAGAGAGCCAAATTATTAATTGTACTGCTTAAATTTCTTATTAAAAAGCTGTGTTGCTCAAACTTCAGAGATGATGAAAGTTGGCCAAAAAGGGCGTTAACGGACGAAAATTTTTTTTGGATTTTCAATTTGGAAATTGCAAAAAAATCTTAAAAGCAAGTTTTTTTTCAATACTATTATAGATTAATTAGCTATCAATTCCACACACCATTCTAAAAATAAGGAAACCCTTTACGTGGTTGCTACATAAACATGGATTGAAAGTGGGTTCTGGATGGGATAATTATAAAATATTAGAAGTGGTCACTTGAAGAAATCTATAGCTGCTCATCAGAATTTAAAAACAATATTTGTTACTTAGCCTAAGATCTGAAGCTAACAGGTAATTTTGTATTAGTTTTTTTCAATCAGTGATCAAATCTGTACAGGAAAACCTAATAATCGCCGCTAAGTTCAAATCATCATTTTATGCTGGGTCATAACACGATAAGGTCAGGAGAAATTGTGGTTCAATATTCCCAATCATAAAGTCTTTCTTTAGTTTCGTAATTAAACCTTTTGCTTAGACTGGCAACCGCAAGTAAAAGATGACTAGTAAAATTGTTGACTACCTGCAGTCTAGTAAAGTCTAATCTATCCAGTAAAGTATCTTTTATCTTCTCTCATTTTCAAAAAAAAAACATAATTTTCAGCGCATAAGATTCAAATCCCACGAATTTCCCTTACCCGTGCTCCACCCTCTGTCCACATCTTTTTTCCATCTTACGCACCTACTAATCAACCTTAATGACCGTCTAGCCTCCCATAGATCGTCACCGCCGGCGCTACGAATTATCACGCCTCATCGCACATAGCGTCATTATTAGCGCTAGTGCACAATTACTTTTTATAGTGGGTATTTTTTATGAAGTGGCCGTTGTCGCCACGTGAGGCGATTCTTGCTAGATGTGGGTATTGTGGAAAGACAGGTGTTAAAGAATTTATGA